AATCTACAGCAACTCTGATGGCTCCACAGAATAGCCCAGGAGATAGAAAGTTTTACCTCCTACCTAAAATTCATAAACACAGCTCCCAATGGAGAGTACCATATAGGATCCCCAAGGGGAGACCAGTGGTGAGCTATGTAGGCTCTGATCTATATAAAATATCTAAATTTGTTGATCACTATCTGGTCAAAATGGCAAAAAGTACCACTAGCTATGTTAAAAACACCCAACATTGCATTGGCAAACTATCTATGATACATAATTGGCAAAACAGAGGGATCTTCACAGCAGATGTAGAAGCTCTATACCCAAGCATTAACCCTCAATGGGGCATAAAAGCTGTTAAAGAGTTCATGTTAACCCACTACCATGAAGGTAGACCTGATGAACTAATCTTGGAACTCCTTTGGATTTGTCTCAACAACAATGATTTCACCTTTGGGAACCACAGGTTCCTGCAAATAAAGGGCACAGCTATGGGAGCTCCATTTAGTCCAGCATATGCAAACATAGTGTTACACACCTGGGAACACGAATTGGTCACAGATTTTACAGAGGACATTGAGTACTATGGCAGGTACATTGATGATATCATTTTGGTCACTAAACCAGACAGGGACATCATGGAGTTCAAGACAAGACTAAACAACAGAAATCCAGATATCAAGCTCACTTGGTCCCAGAACCCTAAATCAAGTACTTTTCTGGACCTGGACCTACATATACTAGGGAACTCTCTTTCCTGGGAAACCCATTTTAAGGCTACTGACTCCAGAATACTGCTACACACCAAATCCAATCATCCACCACACACATTCAGAGGTATCCTAATGAGCCAGCTAACTAGATATATGAGAAACTGCAAAGATCCCAAAATGGCTATCTCACAGTTCAAAGATCTCATTAGAATCAATAAAGTCAATGGCTACACCTGGAGAATGGGGAGGGACACCATTAAAAAATTCAACACCAGAGCTGAAGAAAAAAAGGCACTGAGGTATAAAGTCAATAAATGTTGTAACACTAGATGTGATACTTGCCTCAGACTGGACTCCAGAGATGAGGTATTTGACCTATACCAGGTCAACTCTTGGAGCTTAACCCAAAGCATTAACTGTAACACCAAGGGTTGTGTCTATATCCTACAATGCTCTATGTGTGGGTTAGCATATGTGGGTATGACTACAGATACTATCAAGTGTAGATGGGGTACCCATAATTTGGGCTTCAAAAACAAGATAGATAGACCACTATATAACCATATGGCAACACATGATATCAAGAAGTTCAAGATCTACATAGCTGCTGTAGCTCCTAAGGAACTCACAGAGAGCTCAGTAATAGTTTGGTTAATGAGAAAAGAAACTGAAATCATCAACCATTTGGATACACTGTTCCCACATGGTCTTAATAAACATGAAGGTTTTACCACCAAGGAAATGGTACCACTCCTCATACCACAACACAATGGAGCCCAACTAATAGCTGAGAAAGTCAAGAGAACAATCCACCAGCTAGCCCCTAACAGTTCTCACTTCCAAATGTATAAGTCAATAACTGCCTTTAGGATCCCAACTACTACCAGACACTGGCTTATCAATAAGAAAGTTGATGAGATGATGGAAAAACACATAGAAAAAATTCTACTCCAGAAAAGCCAAAGTGAACTCCAAGAACTGTAATGAATTTCAGCAGCTACAACAAGCTCTACAAGCTACAATGAACTCCAAAAGCTACAGTTAGCCACAATAAGGTCCAAGAGCTCCAAGGAGCTACAGTAGCTCAGTTGAGCTCCAATACCACAGGAGACCTTGAAGAGCTCAGTAGAGCTCCAAGAACTCAGTAGAGCTCCAAGAGCTCTAAGAGCTCAGTAGAGCTCCAAGAGCTCTAAGATCTCAGTAGAGCTCCAAGAGCTCTAAGAGCTCAGTAGAGCTCCAAGAACTCAATAGAGCTCCAAGAGCTCAAGTGAGCTTCAACAGTTCTTACAACTTAGTACTCAACACCTCTGACAGTACTCAACTATACCACTATATATACTGGTGCAGAACCTCAGTCATCCTCTTCACTTGACAGTGTTAACAAGTACTTCCTAAAGATGCCAGCTTCTAGATGCATGACAAATAAGTGCAAACTTTGCCCAGCCCTAATACAGGGAGGGTCCTGGAGCTCCAGAGATGGCCGTATTACTAAAAAGATTGAGGGAGACCTCAATTGTAATTCAGACCACTTGTTCTTCATTGCTGATTGCAAAAAGTGCAACTGGGCTATGGCTAGTTTCACCATATCTCCACTACATAGAATGTATGGATTTTCATTAAAAAAATCAAAAACAAGCAAAGACAATGTTGGAGCTCTGGCTCTTCATATGAGGACCTGCAACACTACCAACATAAGAATCCTTCCTATCATGGTCCAACCAGAGACAGAACACTTCCATGTCAAGAAAGTGAGTACATTGTTGCAATTACTATATAATGCTGACTGGGTAGAAATAGCTAAGTTTAAGAAAAGTAACCCAGACATTAGAGGGACAAACCCGAATGAGTTCCCTTGTAGTACCAGACCAACAATAGTTAGTATCCAAGGGGTTACCCTGGAGCTCTTGGAGAATTTTAATACACCTCTGCCTAAGGAGTTAGCTCATGAGCAATATGAGAACTCAGTTCTCTGTAACAATAAATACTCTTATGTGGGTCTGAGTAGACCCACATTGAATAACCTACGAAAAGATAATCTAGACCTTAGGAACAAAGTGGTAGAGCTAGAAAGTACAATCAAAGCAAGCTCCAGTAAGCTGGAGGAAGCTAGTAATAAATTACAGGAAGCTAATAATAAATTAGAGGAAGCCAATAAGAGAAACAGAGAGCTCCTACTGGAACTAGAGAAAACTGAACAAAGAACTCCAAATAGCAATGAATGGGACTGGTCAAAAGCTCTTCCTATTAAGGGAAGGGGCTTCATCAAGTTCTTCCCACTTCCAGAACAGGATACTGTGGAAAAATTCAAAATAGAGCCAGTGACAATTAACCTTGAGGATCTTGACTCCAACTCTACACCAGGAGCTCAACAAACTATAGACAGAGGAGCTCAACAAACTCCAGACAAAGAAATGGTCCCTACCAAGGAACAGACTGAGGAGGAAGAAGATGATGACAACTATGATGATATGGAAGATGGTGAGTATCAATATGAAAGCACTCCAAAAGAGAATAGCAATATTGGAATACAACAAAGACTCCTAATCAAAAGATCAGGTGATGAATTTGAAGTAGTACCTTCAAAGAAACAAAGAAAAATGTAGTTAGGTGGCGCTAGTGCAAGGGCAGCCATCTTGTTTTCATGTTTTTTATATATAAATTTTTTGTGGTGATGGTATAAATACTTATGTTTGTGTTCAGTTTAACTTACAACCTGATGAAGCCTCAAGTAGAGGCGAAATATTGTTGTAATATGTTTTAAAGTTTAAAATAAAAAGTTGATGAAAAAGAAAAAATTTAATTGTTATTGAATAAGACTAAGAGTTTGACAGAGCACTGAAGCACAAAGGAGCTCAGACATAGAGAACTCCTACCTATTGGAAAATTGGTAGAACCCTGGAACACCAACTAACCAGTTCCCAAAACCTGACTAAGACTGGGAGCCCAGATCTATAATCCTGACCAAGGAGAACCCCTACCTAACATTGAGTAAAAGTTAGGTATTACACTGGAACACTAGCTAACCAGTTCCCAAAAACATTACCAGAGTTGTGTGAGTGGCCTAACCCATAACCCTTACCAAACCCTAACCCTAAACCTAACCCTAACCTAACCCTAACCGGAACATTAAACAAAACATTATATCAAATGCCCTGGAAAATCACACACTGGAAATGTATAAGACAATAACAGCCTATAAAATAGCTAACACCTCAAGAAAATTACTTGTCAATAAAGAAGTGGATGAGATTATGGAAGCCTATGTTCAAAAATATCTAAAAACCATTCAAAACACAGAAACTAAATAAACACCTTTCATAACAGAAGAAGGTTAAACATAACCTTTGGTTCAAGGGAAAGGTTAGAAACATAATAGTATGTTGCAGAAGACAAATAAGGACCTACTAGAACCAAAGCAGAAATACCCTGAAAATAATACAAAAATGGAACACAGAAAGAAACACCTGATAGAACAATAGAAGGTCACAAATGACCTCCAATATAACAGAAAGGTCAGGAGGGTGAGACCACTCACACCAAACTCATTTGCATATTGATAGTACTCAATTATTATATATATAAGGGATACACTCACACTCAAACATCATCACAACAAGACAACAATGAAGTGCTCTAATTTGAAGTGCAAAGCATGTAAAAACATGCTTGACATGGATGCATGGAAATCCAGTGATGGGAGACTCACCTTTAACATCACAGAGGCTATCTCCTGCTCTACTAACAACATTATTTTTTTGGCAAATTGTCAAAAATGTGGCATGTCCACTATAACCAGTAGCAAGGTCAACTTAATGGAAAAATGGAGGAGTTGGACATCAAAACTCAGCCAGTCAAAAACAAAGGGTCTGGGTGACCTTGTCTACCATATGAAGGATTGTGGCCCTGGTAACCTCCTGATACTCCCATGCATGACCTTTGATGAGGCCAAGGAGGCCAACAGAATTACCAAATTCTGCAGAAGCATTCTCAGCAGTAATTATAAGGAACTCAACAACATCATCAAGAACAACAAAGACATAAAAATAGAAAATAAATATGGTGATTGTCTTTTAAGAAAAGTTGAGGTGAGTGTAAACAACCTAAACATTAACCTTACAGAAAATCTTGAGGTTGACCTACCCAACCTGTATGATGGTGGCCCTCACTACTCCATCTTAACAAACACCACCAATAAAGTTATTATGATTGATGAGAGGATGGTAAATGACCTTAGAATGCAGGTTATCCAACAACAAAAGGAGATTGAAAATCAGAGGAAAATCATTGAGCAACAAAGAGAGGAAATGGGAAAACTAAAACTAAACAACAACATATTCACTTGGAATATAAAAGAAGCAGGTACACTTGTCTTCACACCCAACTCTCAAACACAGAGAAATAACAACATCACCCTAGTAAATCAGAACAACTCAGAGGATACTACTGATACCAGTGATGAAGAAGTGGAATTTATGCAAATGCATAGTCCCAAGACCTTCCAACCTACAAAAAGAACATCTGACTTTAACCTTTTTGAGAATGAAGAGGTCAGCCCACCTAAAAAACATTCACTAAAAACCAATAGTAACTAACCTATGTTCTTTATGAAGGTGTCTATGAAAAATAATAAAACTTACCCAAAAAAATAATCAAAGTTCTATTGTATAACCCTCATTACTATACCTTACTATAAACATAGAGGGCAGCACATATATAATAATAATACATGTACAGTCCTATTTGTTGGTGTGTGTGTATATATTGTAAAGATGGCGCCACTACAATATAGAGGGCACCACCTATGTAATGTAAAACATATAAAAGCCATAACAATTCAACAAACTCCCATTATATTACCTGATGAAGACCAGTGATGGTCGAAACGTTGTAATTTTATTAAAATAAACTTTTAATTGAAAATAATACATGTGACTTCAGTTAATTATTATAAAGGAACAAAGGATCTACTTGACAGTCTCCTAATCTATCATAGATATCAAACACTATAATTAGTGTACAAATAAGGAAAGGTCAAAAGTAACCTCTTATTAAAAGGAAAGGTGTAAACTCACCTCACCCAAAGGAGATAGGTCAAATTCACATATTCTCAATTGTAGACTTGCTCCTAACCCTTGAAAGAAGACCCCACCTACCAAAGATACTAAACTAAACTCATAAGTTAGACAAGGATAGACTGGAACTAACCCTCCCCCAACAAGAAAGATAAGGAAAGGTTAAAAGTAACCTCTTATTAAAAGGAAAGGGGTAAACTCACCTCACCCAAAGGGGACAGGTCCATTTCATATTATATACTTGCTCCTAACCCTTGAAAGAATACCCCACCTACTAAAGACACTAAAACCAAAATCATAAGTTAGACAAAAGGAAAAACTGGAACTCACCTTCCCCCAACAAGACAGGTCAAACAGTTCCTACAAAATACAATCATCAAAATCTGATCCAGGAGTGTTTTGTGAGTGGCCCCAATCCTAACCAAACCTAAACCCTAACCCTAACCTAACCTAACCCTAACCTAACCCTAACCCTAACCCTAACCCTAACCCTAACCCTAACCCTAACCCTAACCTAACCCTAACCCTGTCTTAATTTTGGTCTTAATTTTGGTACTAATTTTGTTATTAACTTTTGTGTTAATTTTGGTATTTACTTTGGTATTAACTAGGTTTTAATAAGGTGTAAAAGTGATTAGTATTATGTATACCTTTTGTTAGATGTATAAATGTTTGCTGATTTGATACTTTTTTTCAAAATTTTTTTCAAATCTTTTGTAATTCTAAAAATTACAAAATTTCTCTCAGTTATAAATTTGTTAAGACCCTTTAAAAAGCTCAAATATCTAACCCTTGATTCTTAAGCAAAAATCAGAAAATCATTATTTTTTCTTCAATTTCCCATATAAACTTCACAATAATTTACATCAAAACATTCCACAAATTTTAAAATTACACTGAACCCAACAACTCACATATTTTTTCCAATCCATTCATTAGCCAAAATCAATCTTATATCTTTGGAACAACTAAATGAATGTTGGAAAAAAGCTCATACATAAAAACAGTTTTTTAACTTCTACCACATGCAGTTGCAAGTATATTCATACCACTCAAATAACAAACATCAACCTATCATCTATAAATAATGATGATTTTTACAATTTGCACTAACTTTTTCTCCCATCTAAATTACCTAATTATGTTTTAAAATTTATCCAACACCCTCAACACTTCTCTTACATACTTCACATTAGCTACATTAACACTATTTCCAATCCATTCATTAGCCCATAACAAACTATCAGGGACTCATGAAATGAATGTTGGAAAAAAGACTTTTTACAAACAATAATACTAAACACCACAGGTTCCTTCCATTCTTAAATCAAACAAATCAAATGCAAAATTCAAAAAAAGAATGAGGAATCCTAATATCTTCCCAAATACTTATATTATTCATTACAAACAATATATAGGCAGACAAATAGTAATTATCCAAATTTCCTTTCCAATCCATTCATTAGCCAGAACAACTAATCACTGGGCAAACTAAATGAATGTTGGGAAATAAAATAAATTAACCATACTTTCTACATAATACAACATATTTTTCACATGTCATTCATTTACACTCACTTATTCTATATATTTTCAACTACTCAACCTCCCTATACACCAATTCCTTTACACATACTTAATTCATCAACTAGTCTTAAATAATAATACAATTCATACTTTTATTTTTCCACTTTTTGAATCTTGAATTTTCTATTTTTTAATTTTATTTTTAATTTTACTTTTATTTCAACTTTTATTGTTATTCCAATCCTGGCTGACACTATTTACCCAACTTATTTTATTTTATTCTATAATACTTTTCTTATTTTTTAGGCCTGCAATTTTTGTTTTTTCAGTCTTTGCTGTTTCTCCAAACTGTCAGTATAGATATCCCCTCAATTTACTGTTATTTATTCCTTACACTTTAATTCAAGTCCATAGATGCTTTCTTTAATAACTTGTTAATTTAAAAAGTTCTAAACTATCTTGGTTTCTTATTTTTATTTTTTATTTTTAATTATTTTTTAATTTAATTCCAAATTTTACTCCACAAGAATCTTTATCAACAAACAAATAAATAAATCAAAAATCTGGAGAGAAACTTCTTATTAAGTTTCTCAAACCTCTCTTTCATGTAGCTTAGTAGACCCTGAAGAGTCCCAGGTTTAAAATTTAATAGAGAGGGGGACGAAACCACGGTAGGTCAAGTAGGTAGGAAAAAATTTAAGAAAAAAATTTTTGAAAATTTTTTGAAAAATTTTTTCTGTTGGAAATTGTTTTAAACGTCGATTTTGGTGTATTTTTTCTTTGACTGCTTCCCAAAATCAACTGGGACTCTTGAAATGTGAGAATCCTGTTTCTCTTTTTTGATTTAATCAAAAAAAAAAACCCTTTGCAAACCCTAACCCTAACCCTAACCCTTATAATTTAACATTGATTTTCGAATTTTTAAAATAATATTAGAGAGGACAAAACTGTGGTATGTCAAATATGTTGAAAAAAATATAGAGTTCAAAAAATTTTCTTCTAATAGAAATTGTTTCAAATGTCGATTTTGGTGTATTTTTTCTTTGACTGCTTCCCAAAAACTAAGTCAAAAAACCTTTTACAAACCCATCCTCTAATTTACACCAACATTTTAATTTAGGGTTATATTTACTACTTTACCCACACTTTAACATGATAAGAATCTTTATAAAAGATATAAGCATCTAAAGAGAAGTATTTACTTTCAGGGTTAGGAAACCTCTCACCTTTCTAAACAACGTAGTAGAAACTGAATAGCCTTTTTTCTTAGTTTTTCTTTAACTGCTTCTTTAAAATGGGAGAATTCTGTTTGTCTTTTTTGACAAAGTCAAAAGAAAGCCCTAACAGACGCCATCTATTGTTTACAGCTTAAAACAATAATGGTATTGGAAATCAAGTTAAAAATTTCAGCTCATCAGTATAATTGTATTGCCAACTGTCCCAATAGTGGACAGTTTAGAAATGCGTTTGTAATTGTATTCTTTGAGCTGGTTGAAATTAATGAAAAAGAATAATATTCAACATATTTAAATGAGGCATGAAATACTATAGAAATAAAGAATAAAGCGAATAAAGACAAAGTATGGATGTTAGTCATGATAAGTCATATATCGTTGAAATTCATGATTATTTGTGAAAGAACCAAAATTATTGTGAGGTTTGAGCAGTTGTATTGAAAGTATATGAAAGGAAATAATTATGTTGAAATGAGTATGTACATTTTATACTCTTTTTATAATGAGGATGGGTTAGTTTATTTTCTATTTATAAATATTTTCATGTCAAAAATCAACTATATTAGATATTGAAATCTTTGAATAACAGACATGTCTAATTTGCTCATGGTTATTTAACTTTTTTCATTCATTTGCTTTTGATAAAAACTTATTAAAAAAGTTTAGGGTGACTTTTTTTTAGGAACAACCGAATGCTATTGTAAGCCCTTTGAAGTGGGGAAGTTTTTTGCTATAAAGTTGATTTATTTATAATTTATCTCTAGAGAATATTCAACATTTTTTTGTACATTTTCAATTCAGAGAATTTTCTGTTTCCAAGCAAACATCAATAGGCTATTTGGCGGTTGGCATTATAAGCTGTTTAGTTGGTCAATTTATAAAAACAATGTAAAGCGGAAGTTGGTGAAGTGAAAAACATAAAAAATGATTTCAGTGATTTCATAAGGGAAATGCAAGTGTATAAAAACGTAATCGAGGTATTGAGGTGGAAATTATTGGATGGTTGATATTTCCTTTCTTTAAAGTTATTCTGCCGAAAAGTTGGACTTTTTAACAAAACAAAAGCTTGTTCATTATTTATACTGTAGGTTAGCAAAAAAGATTGTATTGTTTAAATATAGATAGGAGGCATTTAATTGAGTTGAGTCATTACAATTTATTTAGGTTGGAGATTTTTTACTTTTGATAAAAAGTGCTCTCTGTTTAGTATGGTCTATTAACAAAAACGAAAGAGTTAGGGTTAGACTTATAAATCATTTAGTTGTACTCTATTGAAATAAAAAAAAAAAGCTAGTTGTACTGTTTAGTGTTTAGAAAAAAAGTTGTAAAAAGAAAGACACCGAGGTAGGGGGAGAGAGAAATAATTAATGAAAAACAACGTAAGTTTAGCATTCCGCATTGCTGCTGTTTGTTTATCTATCTATCATGTGATATAACTTCGTTTATGAACTAGAAATTCGTGTATTTAATTTTTTAAAAGTTATATATAGCGTAACCGTTTTTTATTTCATTTCCATTTCACTTGAATTGAAACAAACTTAGTTTCAAGTTCAATTAGAATTATGTTTCTAAAAATAAAGTTTATTTAAAAGGCTTATTCATCACTGAAATAGAACACAAGCTAGATTTTTATCTCTTGCTTAAATAAGAATTTCATGACTAGCTAAAGGGAGGTTAATATAACGGTATAGCCGGTTTGATGTTCAATTAACAATAAATGAATGAATGAAACAATAGATATATTGATCTTTAATATAT